CACAGAACCATTCGCGTATTCAGCGCGGCGGTAGTAAGTACAGGTCCTTCAGATCGAGCTTGAACTACCTCGAACCAGACTCCTCCTCCTCCTCCTCCTCTCCTGCTCTTCCAGTTGCGTTCTCGCATGTCAAGGTTAACGAGTCAGGCCTTCAGGGGCCAGCACATTCAAATCGGAATGATCATTGAGAGTGTCTTTATTATATTATTTTCCTGTGGTGCGGCACTTTACGAAGTCGGGCAGTTCCGCTGGGCGTGAGGTAAATATAGATCTCAACACTGCGAATCGACCGTTCCGATCAGTATAGATCCTTCAATTGGAGTTTGGTAGACTTACCCAACAGCATGCAAAACCAACGCGATCCAGAGAGCGGGTCCAAAGCTCATCCGCAGGGTCGACCCGATGTTGAGGCCGGTCGTCCACACAGCCGGGACTGGGACATGCACAGCGTCGAGGGAACCAGTGAGGCAAGTAGGATACAGCTCTTCCAACATCGTCGAGTTGTTGTCGATAGTATACAGAACTTCCGCACAACTCCACACCTAAAGAGTTCGTGAGCTCCCTGTTCTCCTGTATTCCAATGCGGTAAACAGACGACTCACCGTATGATAATGTCCATTAGCCGAGATTAAATGAGCGATCATCATCATCACGATACGGAGAGTGATGATGGACGAGGCATAAAACCATGTCCTGAGCATCCACTTCCGATGTTGGTCAATCCGGAGTTTCTTGATATTGAACCAGGCAATGGTCGCGGAGGACAACGACAAGGCTGCCAGAGCCACGACCCCGGACTGAATAGAAATGTCGCCCCCATACGAGTGGCGCATCAGCATGAGTGCGAATGCGACACCAACGAAGAGCCCTAACAGGGATATGTATCCCACTCGACGGTGCACGATGATGGCCTTGTACCGGATTATGGGGACGAATTGGAAAACGGCGAGGAAGCCGGCGGGAAGGATCGCGCCGAGGTGGGCGAGCATTGCTACCTTGTAGATTCCGCTTTGTAGCCAGAATGCCTCGCCGGGAGCGACTCCCTCGAGCATGGTCGGAGGGTGGAGGTACATGAATCGAGCGAGCACAAATCCTAGCATTCCACCTCTAAAGGATAACTGAACGTTAGCACCAGACCCATGGCTGATAGTTAGTATAGAAATTATACCCAAAAATAAACCCTATTTTGATTAGGCGGTTGAGTGGATAAAGGTGTGGCAATGGAAAGACAACTTACAGAGTACAGAGTTGTAACCCTTCTTGAACCCCAGTGCTTCGGAGAGGCGTACAAAGAGGTTGGGCTGCTCCTTCATAGGTAGCTCTCGGGAGTCCTTACTGCTGTCAATAGAAATTTGAGGCCGTAAATCTTCGTTCAAGGGTGTAGTGTTCATGGCGTGAGAAGGAAAGCGGAAAGGAGGATGATGGGAAGTCTGGGACGAAAAAGACTCCCTTTATAGCTCATTTGATTGATGTATAAACTCTACTGAGCAGTTAGCGGCGGATGAGAGTTTATGGCGGCAATGAGGTTCGGGCATTTGAGCGGTAGCACGCGTCGAGGGTTCCACCCTAAGCCGTGTAACCGTGTTGCCGGAACCTTCCCAACCTTCAATGCGCAGTCGCACAGCCACCTGCGGCCATCTCCCCCGATGTGAGAGTAGAACAGATTCACGGCTCGTGTGCCCCTTCAGAAAGGATATGATGAAGACATCCTCAAATCTAAAGGTTTTCGCGAAAAGAGCCTTCTCGAAAAGACCTTGCTCATGATTGTTTGAAAGACTTCTTCGTAGTTGACAACATGGGCGGGTTCCTCAGGGGGTGGATGGTTTTGGATGGCAAGGAAGTGAACAGCCTTTCTCAGGAAGAGACCACAAAAAATCCGGGTCGAAGCTATCTCTATCGGATGGTCGAGACATGCATGGACTTTCGACACTTTTGGTAAAAATTCGAGCGTTGCAGTGAGTTGATCACGCTCAAAATTCACCATCGTTGGAGTCGACACATAGCATTTCTAGGGTCACCGTGCTGTATCAGATTCTATAAAGACAATCAAATTCCGTCCTACTCGCCGTGTCAGTGTCGACGGTGGACGGTTGATCGAGAACCCGCCAACGCGTTTCCGGCGTGTACATGAAGTGTACTCGACCTTTCAACAACCTGGCGTCCGCATCCTCGCAAAGTCGTTGTCGCCTATTAACGCGCTTCTACAGAGATAGAAGAGTTTAGTACACAACATGGTCCTTGGAGTTACTGGGAAAAGTTCAACTCACCGTCTCAACTTGCAGATCCACAACGAGCGGAACTCTGTTTGAGTGTGCCAACGGGAAATACATCTCCAAACGCCTATAGTCTCCATCTGGGAAATACTGTTTCCTCCACCTCCATACCCCCGAACGGCCATGTCCCTGAGTCCTGGCCCTCACCTCTACCTTCAGAGTCGCGTTCGGCGCCGCTATTTCTAGCTCCCGTTCGAGCCTCCGCCACTGAGCCGCATTACGCGCGAACCGGTTCTGCTCGTCCCACGTATTCTCATGTGGCAGTCGTGACACCACATGGAAAGGCGCATACGTCCCTCGACGGTGGACACGAAACTCAGTGAGGCTGGGGAAGGAGGAGGTTCGGAGGAGAGAACACCACCAATCGACCATCTCCTCAGGCATGAAAAAATTGTGATCGTACACACGGCTAATCGGGTATAGCGTGATGGAACGGAGGGTATGTCGTGCTTTTGAGAGAAATGACTGGGGCAAGATACTACGAACGGTGGTGGAGGATGAACGGGTAATGCCGGGACTATACTCGTATGTGAGGCCGAGATGTTGGAGGCGGGAAGTAGACTGTTCATTGACCAACGCAACGACATGCCGGAGGGCGTCGGAGGACATGGGCGTGGGGGTGACTATCTCGAGAGTAGCAAGGCCGTTGAGCTGGATAGGTGTACTCGCGTTCTTGGCCCACTGCAGCAAGCCCTCAATTTGAGGACAACCTCCGAAGATCTGGAAGGAGCGTAGGACATTGGTTGTGTTGGTGGGGGTCAGGGAATGTGCGGGAATTTTTTTCCACCCAGTGTTGGCCCCCTTCGTGGATGTGTCTTGGGAATTGCTGAACGAAGCAATCGACAGTTCGGTCAGATGCCCTCCACTCAGAGCATGACTGAGAAAGTGAATGCAGTCATCCACTGCTCCAAATATGACGTTCTCTAATACGACCCTCCGCATTTTCGAAGACTGAACAGCGCTTACAAGAGCCACAGACGATGACTGCGGCAGCCGATCGAAATAGAGGGGCGACTTTTGATAGAAATGAAGAGAGATGCTTCTCAAATTCGGGAGCTGAGGAATGATAGCATGGAGTGGGGCGTCTTGCTCATCGTGCCACGACCTCTGAGTCTGATCTGCGATAAGCTCCAAACCTTCGATGATAAGTTCTTCCGTGAACATACCAAGGTCGGAAGACGTCTTGAGCAATTCAGCGAACTGGCGAACGCGTGTGATAGAACTATGCTGTCCCAGTCCCGCACGCATCTTGTGCCATTGGCGTGCAACACTGCTTCGAGGTTCCTCCTCGCAGAGGCTTATCTTGGTGAAAAGCCTTCGTCGGGCAGGGAGAACAAAACATCGCGCAGCGAGAGCGCATTGACGAAGAGAGGTTTCATCTAGTTCGTCCACTATGTTCTGCAGGAGGTCCAGAGGGAGTTGAACACTTTGGCACGAGGATGTGGACCTCGATGCTGATCTCTGCAACACAAGATTAATGGATACTCTCAGCTTTGGTGCGAGTGTCGCGACGTACTGTTGAGCCTAATCGTCGCACGATGCCCAGTCGTGTGCTGTCGCCTGAATGGGTACTGCTGGCGTGTGTATCCATCGAGTCGTGCAGGGTGTAAGCAGGGAGACAATCTTTTACCCACAGCTCGATGTCGCATTTTTATACCTTGGGAGTGATAACCTGATACCATCGGGCCCGCAATGTCGCTTATTGAGGCGGATAAGAGCGACATACATGAGTCACTTCAAGAAATTTTCACAATCGGTCGTTGGTTTCGGTTAGCTACCGTCGTAGCTTCGTAAGCCAGATGATTGTATGCCTCGGGGTAACGCACATCACGGTGACGTTGGACGACAATGCGACAGCTTGAAATCCTTTCTGCATCGAAGTTCGAAACTCGAAAGAGAGATGGTGAACAGGTGCAGGTTCAGCGAACACCTTGGTGCAAGTAGGGCCTGTAGTCGTGCATACTTCTGAAGGTAAGGTCTGCATCTAACATAAGGTTTTCAGTGGGAACACACGAGCATCAGTAGAGTCGAGGTAGAACGTACCCACAACTCCAGGGTGAAATTCCTGTCAAAAGCTCCGATGACGCCGCGTCAGGCCTCGGGCCTCAGGCCGTTTCACTACCGTTCTCCTCGGAGGGTTGGAAGGAGTCAAGGGGTAGTAGGTAGATGGAGCATGATGTCAAGAGTTTGAGAAGATACTGAAGGTTAAAGGTACTCAGATGGTGTTCGATGTTCGTAGCAAAGAGAAATGAATGATTCAGGCCACTGTGGAGATTTTGAGGCTTTTAGGACCACGAACACTGGCAGCTCCAGACTGAGAATGACATCGTCAAAACGACGTGCACTCAAAGTGAGGTATCCGACTTTGAGTATCTGAAGTATTTCGACGAGATTATGAGGAGAAGGAGCGGATGGTTTGGATGTGTGAGTATTGAAACTCGTCAACGTACGTCTGCGGTTAGAAAAATTTAATTCATGCGCAATTGACAATTGCAAGTGCCCGCCGTGGGTCGAACACGGGGCTTCAAGATCTTGCAACGCGGAATTGCAATCTCACACTCTACCACTGAGTTACGGGCACCTTGTCAGAGACCAGCTTGGTGCATTCCAGTAGCTGTAGAGTGGCACTCAACTTGGAGGAAGTCGCACGGACCGCGTCTTCCTCATTCATAGCATCCGATCCATTCTCTGCCTTTCACCAATCACTCGGCTCTACGCTTCAAAAGCGTGCCCGTAACTCAGTGGTAGAGTGTGAGATTGCAATTCCGCGTTGCAAGATCTTGAAGCCCCGTGTTCGACCCACGGCGGGCACTTCGTCGTTTCTCGCTCAATTAGACTTTTGCTTGTCAAGACACTAATGTCCCTATTTCCTTGTTTTATTTTCACGATCACAAAAGTCAGCTTCATTTGAGTAGATCGGATAGTTTTGAGAATAGCCAGTGTATCGTCCTCGATTCATGATTTCGTCGGATGACTATGTTCTCCTGGACTCGGGTTCCACTATATTTCTCAGGACCCCTTCAGATACACCGGTTCTAGTGTACCAATATCCGGGTCGCGCAAAGATGTTTTCACATGGATTACCCTGTGTGAGAGTGGCGCTGAGTCTGCATATAAACAGTAGGAGGCCGTGTGTCGTTCTTTGCCACACGGTGACGATGTCTGTCATTTTCTACCGGTTAGTGAAACAAAGATCCCCGAGACCTCTGACAATGAATCTTACTGCATCCCTACGCAATGTCAAGATACGACGGCAGCCCGTTCTGCGAGAAACTTGACAAGGTTCTCCTAATCAAGGGAATACCACACCAGAGGGTCAACGTGTGTACCGAACGGTCGATACGACCCCTTGCAGTCAACGCTCAAATTGCCATCAGGTTCTTCCGCTTGTAGCAGGACGCCCCGAAATCACCGATCTCCTTGGATTAGGTTATCGACGCATACCGATCCTCGCTATCGGCAATGACATCTACTGCGATAGCAGGTCCGTGCATATCCTTCGCGTACCTACATACCGCGCCTACACCTGCACCTGCACCTCTCCAGCCTCATTGTCCCGACACTGGAACGCCGATTCCCTTCGTCCGAAGGAGGGCGCGACACGGTCTTCTCCCCAAATAAACACGGAGGAGGACCAAACACCGGTCTGTTGAAGGCCTTCGCGAGACATTATGGGGATACAGTCCTTTTGAGGCTTTTTGTGTGCTTGATATCCTGGGATAATGCAAACCCTGAAGCGCTAAAAGATCGATCTAAGGTGAAGAATTTGGTTTCTTTGATGCGCGCACTCGGCACTGACGCTACCGTTTTCCCTCCCTCTTCCGTTACGGTAGCTCTTTGGTGCACCAATCGACCCCCAAGAATGGGCCGAACGTCGACCGAAGGTCTTGTCGGAACTGACTTCGCACATAGTAAGCACCGAGGATACCGAGTGTAATTGTTCAGAACTCACACTAGACCTCAGGCACTTATTGAAGACCAACTCGCAGACGGTAGAGAATGGCTCCTCGATACGGTCTTCCCCGGCCTGGCCGACTTATCCGTCCATTACATCTACTCTTGGGTGATGCTCAACTCCATGGGGTTCTTCAACTCGGAGGTAGTAGACTCCTTGTTCGAGAAGAGTAGATTCCCGAAAACGATCAAGGTGAGCACAAATCTCGTCATCCATTGACTGTGAGGGATTGAGGACCTGGATGATTGTAGTGGTTGGAACACTTCAACGAGTACACAGACAATCTCAAGAAAGACTCGCCAGCCCCTACCGTCATTGACGGGAAAGAAGCCGCTCGACAGATAGCCGGGTCTTCGCACGAATCAGATGATGTGGTGGGTTTTGACGAAACCCATGCGAAATGGTTAGGCCTCAAACGAGGCACGACAGTTCACATTCGGCCTGAAGACTATGGTGGGTGCCAAGCGTCGTTGTGAAACTATTTGTGCTTTGACCGCGCGTACAGGAAAGGAATGGCCTCACACAGGTAAACTGATTGGCCTGAATCATGAGGAGTTCTGCGTGGAGTCACAAGGAAGTTCGGGTACCTTCCGGGTACACTTCCCTCGGATTGGGTTTACCATCGAAGCAGTCTGAGGCACTGTGCACAATGTATAGCACATAGCGACTAGTCGATATATGCAGTAGCGTAAGCAAGGGAAGTTTCAGAAGACAGACCTTAAATAAATAAATAATATCGACTCTCCTTCCAAACTCACATATCTTCACCGGTCTCCTTAGCCCTGATCCACAGTCCGCCCTAAAAAGCCTCGAGTTCAGCTTACAACCAAGACTGACAAAACACATCATATTTTACCTTGCATCCCAACGTCATATTCATCTTGGGGTAGAACGTATCGATCCCCTTCCTTCCTGGAGCCTTATTCCATTCTTGCGGCCTTCGCAAATGTGGTGGTGCCGCCTCCGGATGGTGAGTAAACGACTGGAAGTTTTGCAGCAAGCGAACGATTATAAAGGATATTTCGTTATAAGCAAACTGGAAAGAGGTTGGTAAGCAACCTGAGGTTCAAAGAGCACTCGCGGGTGCTCACCTGTTGGCCCAGGCAGATTCGAGGTCCGGCGTTGAAAGGCAGGAATATGAATGGGTTCGGTAGTAAATACGTCTTCAACCTCTCGTCCAGGAACCGGTCGGGATCGAATTCCTCAGCTGCGAAGGGAGGCGAAGTTACAGTCAGCGATTACACGAACTGAGTCAGAAGACAAACCGTCGGGGCCCCAGAGATCCTTTCGTCGATGCATCAGGAATACAGAATAGGCGGCTCTAAGAACGACATTAGCTTTTCGTGCTCATGTCCAACCAAAAGAGCGATTGGTCTACTCACTCTGTATTTGGGGGGATGTACAATGGTTTCTGGTTGGGGTCGGGTGAAGGCCATATCGCTTCGCGGATGTTCCATCTGCAGAACAACGTCAGTTGAAGCAATTCCAGAGAGAAAGACGAAGAACGAACCTGTTGTTGAACGGGCTTTGACATCGGATCATGAGATTCGTGCCTATGAGATTTAAGCCATAATAAGAACGGCTTACACAGGTGGATATAACCTCAGTGTCTCTGTGTTTGCAGAAGTCCCGAGATTAGCACATAAGTTCGAGGTGCAGAACGATACAACCCACCATTGATGACAGCCCTAAGGTATTTCATTTCCTTGATATCCTCGTAGCTAGGCCGTCTAGTAGACCCAACTCGAGCCAGAATCTCTTCGCGAAGTCTCGCTGTTACTTCCTGGTAGGTAGCAAGGAAGTAGACAACAAAAGTGATGACCGAAGCGGTAGTGTCGCGACCAGCGATAAGGAGATTAAGTCTAGAATGGGAAGTGTTTGAGTACACGGGCGTTGGAACAAAATACAAGGAGACGACAGCACATTTCATCCTTTATGAGAATGGGGTCTGCATGTGGACATTAGTAACCTATGCTTCTTTGTTGAGGGCAACTGCTCACCGTCCGTAAGACACACAAGGTGGTCCAATAACGTCTCGTCTTCCCCAATCGTCTCCTTGCTTTGCATCACCCCTCCCGCTGCTTTTTGTTTGGCCAAAGCCTTCGCAACAATGGGTTCGACAAACGCGTTGACGATCTTCATCGGTGCTTCCGTTTTATTCTCGAATATCTCGAGGAAAGGCCATATCGTATGCCCCAGATACTGGCGAAGAGCGGCGACTTCCAGAGCTTTCGTGTACGCGTGAACAAATGTCTCGACCGTATTGTCAGCAGCCTCAGCCTCATTCTCCACTTTCGCGTCATAGGGATATGGGATCCGACCTGCTGTCAGACTATGCATGCACGAGCCGAAGAGGAATTCAGTCGAGGAGTCCAAAGTGAATCGACACATAAGGTCCTGTGAAAGGCACTTCAGTACCCTACGACCGTTCGCCCGTTGCCGAAACGTACCTGAAAATCGATAGAATATCCGGCTTGCATGCGCTTCTTGATCTGTTTAATGGCAATCTCTGCGTGCCTGTCGAAGAGTTCAAAATGGCCGATTCGGTCGCGAGTGAAGAATGGTCGGGTCATCTTGCGATGGAACCTTAGGAGACGGGCGTAAGACAGCGCCTAGGCAATCAATTTTCGGAGGTTCCTTACTTCCACATGTCGCCTGTTGTAAGAGTAAGCCAATGCAACTATTCGCGAGCATCTGAAAACGTACCATCCGTGCTGAACACTCCAACTCCTAACACATCCCGGAGATTGCTCTGAACGACATCACCTGAGCTGACATGAGTATCGGAAATACGAGAGACCACGATTGCAAACCTTTGGGGTAGCTGTCAAAGCTTGTAGACAGGATGTGTTGTATGTGTTCAGGGCAAGTGGTGACGAACACGTCTTCCCAAGCGAACCACAGGTTGTATATTTCACCCTCGGCATGCTCGACGAATCCATCGCCTATACGAGCGGAGAGCCTATAAGCCGTCTACGTAGTCTGGGTAGGTTGTAGTGATGCGCACCAGGATACCCGTTCTCCAGAGCTTCTCCCAGCTTCAGAGCCACGTCCAAATTTCCAGGCCATCGACCTTTAACTTTCGGCGGGAGTCTCGCGCCCATCGACGCAGCTCTCATTTTGTAGTAGACGGCCCTACACCATATTTGCGCAGCAAAGTACGTCGGAATGCCGAAAATAGTGAATAGGACATAGTAACTGGGAGGGATTTGTTCTAGAAGCGCGACTTTGTGTCCCAGCAGCCTGCTGGCCAAGTAGAGAGTGGCGGGGGGGATGGAAAAATATTGCAGAAGGCCCGCTATGTGTTTGATGCCTGGGGTGAGCTTCAAGGGCATAGTGATGGTAAGAGTGAAGCTGGAAGCTTGAAGCTTGAAGGGTCGGCGAAGTGAAACATCAATTATTGTACTAGAGTCAGGTGAGTGAATTTCCGAGATGACCGTTCGATCTGGGGCATTTTAGGGCGGTACTGTGCATACCCCAGGTCAAGGTGTCTTAAAAGGTGTTTCAGCCATCACGCTGACAGTTGTTGCGGCGAATTGAATTTGTGGGCAAGGGTGACTGGAAGGGACTGTGAGAAAATTCACTATGGGCGCTACATACGAGCGCTTAGTAACCTACATTTTTTTCTGCGTTTTGATCGCGACCACCAACAGCGCGAGGTCGCTGAGTCTACTCAGGTTCATCTCCGGCACGCCAACAAAGACCATACATCTCAACGCTTGAGATGTCTCTAGGGGAAGAAACAGCAACTCAAGCACCTTCTGTCGACACCCAAGATGTCTGCAAGTTACTGGACGAAATGACTGAAAGTATGGCTTCGACCAGGAAAGCTATCCAAGCTCTGCGTTCCAAGTTAGT